TCTCTAAAGTATTACAAGCATGGAAAAACAAACGCTCACTATTAAACTGGAACTAACTAATGAGCACGCAAGTGTACAGAGGAAAGCAAAACTCAACGTAAGGGGGAAAGGGAAGGTGGGGAGGGGAATAAACCAACCTAATGGGTTCCGTATATTAGACAGGCGCACCTATGGCCAGGACATGCACGTTACAAAATGGTCCATGTATACACATTTGTACCTCCCTAATATACTGAAATTTATACTGAATAAAGTTAATTTTGCAAACTTCAAATATAGTATGATTCAACAGTAATAAGAATGATAGTAATGTTATAACAGACAGTAAAGAATCTAGAAGACTATATCAAATGTCTTTGAAGTGGTATTAAGGAGGACTTTCATGAACTATATCATATACCTCAACGTTAAAAATGTTTTAACATTTATCATATTGTTAAATGTTTTAACAATATATTTAACATTTATCATGTTGATAAATGTTTTAACATATATCATATTTATAATAAACATGAATGACTTTTGTATCTAAGTACCAAGTGATAAAAACTATTAGAAATATACTTATATAGAAAAACTACTAGGAAGAAATATAAAAAATGTTAATAGCTATTTCTGAGAGTAAGCTATAGCTATTAATCCATTTGTACCTTTTTCTACATTTCCAAATACAGTGTGTTAACTTTTTTGTGGTCATAAAAGCACCTGAAAAATAAACTCATGGAATCATTTTTTATGCTGTCTCAAAAATGTAATTCCCATTGTATTGTTCTAATCACTGAAATTTTCTCTACCTGAACATTATGAAAGGGGAGAAAATGGGCGGTGCCTGTGGCTCAGTGAGTAGGACACTGGCCCCATATACCAAGGGTGGCGGGTTCAAACCAGCCCCGGCCAAACTGCAACAAAAAATAGTTGGGTGTTGTGGCAGACGCCTATAATCCCAGCTACTTGGGAGGCTGAGGCAAGAGAATCGCCTCCAAGAGCTGGAGGTTGCTGTGAGCTGTGATGCCTCAGTAGCATTCTACTGAGGGCAATAAAGTGAGACTTTGCCTCTCTAAAAAAAAAAAAAGAAGAAGAAAAAGAAAAAGGGGAGAGAATCATGACAGCCTAAGTATGCTACCACGAACAAGAAAGATCCAAATGATAGTATATGTAAGGGTAGTGGTATTTTCACTGAAGCATTTTAGAATAATTTCTCCTTCTGCGTTCTTTCTCAATTCTTAAACGTGCTTTCCTTGTAAGTTTAGCATACAATGGTGCTTTCACAAAGCAATGACTCAATGAATAAAATGTTGATTTTATTCTAACCTTTTATTTATTGCCCCATTCCAACTCTCTTCAATCCAGAGTTAATAAAACTGTTGCATAAAAATAAAAAAATTACCTTAACTTTCACCAGCCTTTTCACAGTCTTGATCTTTGCCTCACAGAAGGCACCTCGGTACTTGGCACTGACATCAGTTCCCACTGTCAGGTAGGCAGGCTCATCTGCCGCCTAATGAAAGGAATATAAACTGTGAATGTCACTATTATTTCTCCCTGTTCCAACCTCAAGTCTCATTATAAAACTCTGTAAAGTAATATAAATGTTTAAGAATGTTAAAATTATTTGCTTCTCAATATCGCTGATGACTTGAAAAATACCCCTAAAACAAATACTTTTATTACCAAGCTTTCATTTTATATACTGATGTCCTGATACCATAAAATGTTTTAAAGTTGCAATTAGAAATTATCAGTAAAAAAATAAAATAATGCATTTTTCTCCACATACAAAATGTTTTTTAAAACCCTACAATTTATGTAAGTGGAAAAATAAGAAAAAACAGAAAAAGTATTTCCTATTAAATGCTTATGAAACTAATGTATTAATTTATGGCCTCCTAAAAATTATTTTCAAGTTAAAAGAAATATTGCCATTAACAGTAACAGGATATAATTAAATGTTTATTGATACAGCCACATAAAAGCAGTTATGTTTTAGATACAATGTAACAATACAGATAAATGAAGCGAACCATGTGCAAAATTCACTGGCTACAAGCTGCATTTGAAAGGTTTAAGCCTGAAATCAGTGGACAAATGCAGATATGAACTGATGATTCAAAACTTAAAGGCATACCTCAGGTTTACCATGCTAATCTTCTTAGTATAAAAAATAAGCTTTACTACCTTTAGGAAATTGCCATAATCAGAATGATATATTGAAAGACGTAAGAAATTCCATTCTACTACTCATTTCTACCTTAACAGTAACAGGATGATTGCTATTTCAATCTGTCATTTTACCCATTTTTTCCCAAAAGTTAAGTATAATCATACAAGTTCAATACAAGTTTGCTATGAGCAAAGACAACAATGTACGCGTTAGAGATATTTTTAAGTAGAGAACAATTTTTCACATTCCAGTAAGTTTTCCCCCAAGTAATGTTAAAGAAGGTTGAATATGTCACTTCAAGAAAATAGGAAACCAAGAGACAGTTTTTGCAAATGCTGTATTAGTATACTGAAACAGTAAATAAGGCAAGAATCAAGTACCTTTTAAAGGTAATGCATTTTATAAACAATGCAAATTGAAGAGGAATGCATTCGGCAATAAATATCTAATCTGAAAATACTGCCAGGGCCAAGGTACTCGGGAATGCTTCTTCTCCCTTGAAACATTCACATGTGTTCATAGTTGTTTTCAGTAGAAAATACATACACACGCATATTTTTTAGGATAAGTGTATGTTTTAAAATATTTACTATACGGATTTAACTAGAACTGAGCATTATTAGTTTCAGTTGAACCTCAAATATTTTAGCAGGAGAAATTCACATTATTTCCAGAAGAAATGATACCATCCTCACTCAATCCACATATTCTCTTAGAAAATCGCATTGCCAATGCAGAAGAAAAAAATTTCCAAAAAAATCCCCTGAAGAACCAAAGCAGGACAAAAGCTTTACTTCTGCAAAGGCTGCTGCCAACACAGGAAGTGTTTAAAAATACTATCCGAATGGACAACAATTGAAAGGCTGCACCAGCCTTTGCAAAGTGCTAACTTGTACAGAGAGGGACTGAACTAACTGCATTTAGACACACAGATCATTTCTCACCCATTCAACACGTCCTCGTTTTCTGAAAGTGCTGCTTAGCAGGCAAATGAATTTTGAGTAGCAAAAACATGACATTCCATGGCACCAGCCGCACGACGGGCAGTGTCCAGGGCACGAGGATCAGGGCGGCGTTGATTGCACTTACCTTCATTTTTACGGGAGATCTCTGGGGTTCCAGCTCAACGAGCTATTTCCACTGTCGCTGGAACCATTGGGGAGAGGAAAGACAGGAACAGAATCAGTCAACAGCGAGGAGCGACAGGGAAAAGAAAGTAAACAAATGCCAGCGGGGAGGGGTAGAGTCCTCAGCAGGCCGGGGACAAGACCCCTCGGAGGGCAGCCAGGACGCGGGAGCAGAGCGGGCAGCGAGAAGCCCCCGCGCGCCAAAGGGCAGCCCGCTCCGCCCGGAGCTCCCTGGCGGCCCACCGCGCCCCCGCCTCGCCGGCCACTTTGACCTGGAATGCTCAACTCGGAGCCCCAGGACAGATCGCTCTGGAACGGAGCAGGGCGCCGTTTAGGCTTCTCAGATCCCCCCACCAGAGACAGTCGCGAAGCCTTCGTCCTGCCGCCCCCCGGATACCCCGACTTCGGCCCGCGCCCCGCCTCCGCCGCTCGGCCCCCTCGGCCCGCCCCGGGCCCGCGGTGGCGGCAGCGGAGTGTCACGGCGCCATTGCTCTCCCTCCTTAGCTCTGCACCATGTCAGGAAGGAGAAGCGCTCCTTCCCCCAAAGGGGCAGGGGCCGCGGCCTTCAGCAGGGAGCAGCGAGAGCCCAGGGAGACCCCGGCGGCCGAGGGGGCAAAGGGGGCGGGAGTGCGGGGGGAGGAGGGGAGGTGGCCGGACAGGGTGTGGGAGGGGAGGGGAGCCGCACAGCGGCAGCCACCGCCTCCTCCCCGCGCCCGCCTCAACTTTTTGTACAGCCGGGAGAGGTATCGGCCCCCAGCCCCTCGGGTCCTGCCACGAGCTCCACAGTGGAGGACGCACCGCAGACTTGAGGGCCGACCGGACCGAGCTGCCCGCTCCTCGCCGCGCGGAAGCAAACTTAGCGGCGCGGGCAGCCCCACAGCCATTTTCCCGGGGAACCTGGGGAAGCGGACGAGGAGGCGGCTGCGGCGGCGGTTCCTGCAGTTGCTGCTGCTGCTTCACGACTTGTCCCTTGCCCTGCGCTCGCTGCATCACTTGCTTGGCATCCCTCTCCCCACCTCCAAAGCTCCCAACTGCACCGGGACCCCGGGCAGCAGCACCAGCTGCTACTGCTGCTTCGTCCATTCAGCGTTCTCCGCTTCCCTTCTCCACACCTACCAACTGCGGGTGAAGTGCGAGCTGTCAGCTCCCGAGTCCTCCGCTCTACTGACTCCCGGGGATCCGGGTCCGGGAAGTACCACTCCCGGCCGCCGCGGCAGTTCCTGAGCCCGGTTCCCCACTCGCCCCGATTTACTGCCACAATCCACCAAATAACAAGCTGTTGAGCAGACTCGCTTCTACACGAACTCCTATTGGCTGCTCATGACGCCGAAGCGCTTTGGATTGGACCTCGCTACCTGCCGTCCTCATTGGATGTAGCTCTGAAACTTCAGGGATTGGTGCGAAAAACAGCAGGTAGGACATCCTCCACTTATGATTGGCTTTCTTCGCGGACCAACGTTATTGGAAAATTGGGTATTGAGTAAGCAGGTTCTGAGATATGATTGGTACAGACGACTCCGGATGTGCTTGACTGAACACTGATTGGTGAATTGAGGGGTCAGGAAGAGAAGTTCGGCACGAGGATTGGCGGCGGAGTGTCCCATGGAAACGGAACTCAGAACTGCAGCCAGGAGCTAGCACCGGGGGCGGGGCAGAGTGTTTCCAAGGCGCCTGCGCTAAACCAGCTTCTAGGCGCCATTTTGTCTCAGTAGCGGTGGGTGCAGGTCTATCACCTTTTAAGCTTCTGGTGTAAAAGGAGTGGAGTCTTTATCACGTAGATTTATTTTGGTGGGTCACCCAGCTGCCATTCTTTCCACGACAGCACCTAGTCATTATCGGAGGAGTCGCAGAGCTATCTGAAAGGTCAGTTGCAGGCTATGGTTGTCCGATTGACTGGGGGGATGGCGCAGCTCTAGCGGCCCCGGCACCGGAAGTGGAGGGGCCGCGGGCGGCCATGGCAAAGTGGGAGCTCCCCGGGGCGGGTGGGGGCCGGGGGGCGGGATGAAAGGGGGAGAGGCTTCCTCTCCCGCCGAGAGAAAGGGAAAGAGGCGGGGGAGAGTGCACGTCTTTCTTGGAAGAGATCCTCGGGGCTCCTCCGAGATTTTCTGGATTCTGCCTTTTTCGAAGCCGTCTTGGAAGCGAGTTCCGAGGACTTGCTGTGTTCTCCACCCGCGTGGCACCGGCTCCATCCTTTAAGACGTGGAAGATATGGTTCTTAGAGACATCCCGCGTGGCAGAGGTGTTTTCTGAGTGCTCCTCACGCGGTAAAGCTCTGGAGGACACCAGAGAAAGCTCTGGCTTTCGGAATTCGGAGGAACGTGTCCGCGCTGCTGCTGGGCGCGGAGACCAGCGCCCCTGCCCCTCCGCGCGCTGCTGCTTTCGAAAGGAAATGAATGGCAGCAGTGGTTTCGCAGGAACTGGACCTCCCTACAGGACAGATGTTGATCTTGCTCGGTTAACGTCTTATTTTCTGTAAAATGAAACAAAAACTTAGGTATTTTAAGTATGGGAACTGAAATATAAGTTGACTGCTGGTTTTAAAGAGTGAAATTTTTAGGATGTGAAATACCGTCGATAATCCACATGTACTAAATTTTCTAATCTTTAACTAAAGCAGAATCAATCTTTTGTTCATAACAGTGATTTCTTTCAAGATTATTAAGAAAGTGAACCGTGTCGGAATTTACAGTGGTGAGCTAGTTACAGTGTATAGATACTTAATAATCATTCTCGGGGCTCGGCGTCCGGCGCTCAATGCTTAGGGCGCCGGCCACGTACACTGGGGCTGGCAGGTTTGAACCCGGCCCGGTCCTGCTAAACAACAGGGACAACTACAACAAAAAAATAGCCGGGCGTTGTGGC